GGCCAGAGACATAGAGGAATTGGGATCCCCAACGACGGGCTACCCTCTTCACAAATTCCATCATATTTTATTACATTCTACTATTACTCTTAAAACTATCGCATGGAAAAATGGAGCAAGTAATAAGATATGGAGGGAGTATATTGAAAAAAAAATAGATTTAATGGAAAAATTTTAATGTCATCGTAAAATTCACCTTTAGTATAAAGTTATTGATGCGTTGAACTGTTTGCTTGTATTTTTTTAAATCAAAGATTTTATGTATTTACTTCCACGGTGTTTAAATAAATGAAACGTTTTGACTTTCATGGAGTTTTAAGAATACGAGTTAAATTAATTAAAATAATAGGTAGTGGGAGTATAAATTGAGGAGAGCGAAGAGAGTAAGGTTTTGTGGGGACCATTAGTTAGTAGGATGTTTGTAGACGCCTAATTGTGTCTCCCTGAAAACCAAACCAAGTGATGAGTACCTTTTATGTCTTTGATTTTCAAGTTAGGTGAAGATTTGAAGAGTCTCGTGAATTCCCCTTAAGCCTTAACCATTTCTAACCTTTCCTAAAATGTTTTAAGCCAAAATCATTCATTTCGTTTCCTCTTTATAAAACATCCAAAACAGTCTATTTTGGTCCATGATTCTGGTCCAATTATTATATAGTTTTATGGGGCTTGAAAAGAGCTTTCCAACGATATATTATAAACCCAAATCCGAAATATAACAAAGAAGTTATGGCCAAAATACTAAACTGAGCCTGAACCAAGCCTTACTAGCGACCCAATGATCATGTGGAAGGTCCATTAACCTTAACCTCATTCTTAAACCAATTAGGATTTACTAAAAGATTCTAGAATCATCTAAAAGGTTGTTTTCGATCCTAAATCCATTAGGATTTATTGTGAGCTTCTAGAATCCTCTGGAAGGTTCTAATTTAACCTGTTTTCGAAAAAATAAAGATTTAAGGATTTTACTTTGGGTAAAACATCTATTTTTCAATGATCCTAATCCCGTTCAAATTAGAATACGTACAAAAATTTGATTAACTGAATCCGATTGGAAATCGAATTATGTACAAATTCAATCTTTCCAAAACCATCGCTGCGATGGAACTATTTTACTTTGATTCGGATTTTGACTCTTTTCTGATCCCTCGACCCTCTTTTTTCTTATAAATAGAGGTCGTATCACCCCGTTTTCAATCACCAACAATCATTATCTAATCCCCTCTCTAATACTTTCTCTCTCTTGATTCTTTTCAAGCCTTAGCCTAAACACAGCCTAAACACATCCTAAACATGCCTTAATACATCCTTGATACTTTTCCCCAATTACACACCATACCTCCTTCACGAACTTTGAATACTCCTAGCCAATCCCAAATTTGCCTTCGACCTCGACGTGAAAGGTTAATAGTTCTGAGAGTTTGGTCCCAAATCTATATTTCAATTCTTATTTGATTTATTTCTTTCTTGAAGTTACTAACGTGTGTATTGTTTTGATAGAAAAAGATACGAGGCATCAAAGTAAGTAATTCGATTACTTAATCGTTCTTTTAATGTAGAAATCATGCTTAGAATATTATTTTTAATTCCTAGTATCATGTTAGGATGTTGATTTTAATTCCTAGTGTCATGTTAGGGTGTTGATTTTGATTCCTAGTATCATATTTAGGGTGTTAATTAATTTTTTTAATATCATGTTGGTTCCTAGTATCATGTTTAGGCTATATCTTTGATCTATATTATTAGTGACATGCTAGGGTTTGTTATAGATAGGTTGTCGTACACCTGTCAAAAATAAATTCTTAACAAAACCAACTAGCAATGTAGTAGGGTAAGTAAGGTCGAATCCACATTGAGATGGTTATTCAATCTAACTTCTAAGGATTGGAGAAACTAAATTATGTCACGTGATCGAGATAGAAAGGTAATCTAAATAAATATATGAATAAAAATAATAAAAATGCCTAGGGTTGTGGTTCAGCATATTTATAGTTCCAAATCAATCAAAATATCATTAATAATTCAAATAATCAAGTATCTAGAGCAATTGCTAAGCCTACGGTTGGGTCTTAACACTCTCAATTCAACATATATAGTACGGTCGCTAATATAATCAGAATTGCCAATTGTAGGTAAGCCTCTAAAAGTAAGATCTTGTGATTCAAACTCTTATTAATAATAATTAATCAAACAATTGATCAGATTGCAAGATTAACAATAAAACTCTATCAATTAGAGAAATCAATAATCAAAATATCAATAACATTAATCAAGATTTATAGTATAATTATGGATTCCTAAACCCTAGAAATAAACTACTTAAAGATGAAATAAATAATTAAAACTAAATCTAATAATGAAAGCATAATTAAATGAAAGAAATAATTAAATGAAAGAAATAAAATACCTTAATGAATTAATGTAACAAATTTAAGAGTAATCCATGGAGGAATCCATGGAATTTTCCAAGAGAGACTATGGCTAGAGGAAAACTAAAACGAACGTAAAACAATAGTAAAAAGCGTAAGGAGAAAAAAAATCTCCTTGAGTATTTATAATTTCAAAAATTCTAATCTAAAAATAAATAAAGAAAAGAAATGAGAAAATATAAATTACACAAGTTGTCAAACGATTGGATGATAGAAGATGATGTGGCACGAAGATGCTCGATGAAGACGGCCAACTGACCCAAGAACCAAGCCTTTCTTAACGAGTAGCCATGATGGTGCGTATATGTTGGCACGTTGGACTTCAATAAGGCATCACTGCATATATAAGCTATCGCTCAGTGCTTGCGTGAAGGAGTGTAGGGGCGAGCTATAGCTTGATGGCGAGTGAGCTCTCGCTCAGGGCTGCTGTTACTTTCGGCATATGCGAGTTAGCTCGCGAGCTCTCGCTCCCTCGCTACTGGGCATAGCATCAACTTCACAGGCTTGTAAATTCTGATTCCTAAGTTGTATATAGGCGTGTGACTTACCTTTGGAAAGATCTTCAAGTCTAGTTTCTAATGCAACTTGAATCACTTCATCAGATCTGTAAAACTCAAGTTATGATCAAAAGAGTGAACAAAGGTTAGTTTAGACATATCGTTCATCATCGTTTAACTTCGTTTCAAATCAAATTCAATTCAAAAAGGCACATAGTGACCCTTGTGAATGCTACGTTCATTTTCCCATTTTCCATGCACATAATAATCAAAATCAACATCCACGTAAATGGGATCTTCGATTAATAAACTCAATTCATCGACTTCCATCCAAATATCATCTGAATCAACTCCAAACACTTTGAAAGCGTCTAAATGACTATGAAATCAACTGGAACATTAAGAAAAAACACAAACGGAGTGTAATATAGTACAAAACAAACAACTTTTGCATTTACAACATAAAAAGCAACTAAGAGACCTTAAAAGCAACTACAAAACTAGCATAAACGTTCCTATAAATCCTATATAAATGTGATTCACCAGTTATTAATCCGTTTAGTACCATGCCTAGGATGTTGCTAATTATGTTTTAATGATGTTTTGATGATTTTGATTATGATGATGATCTGTTGTGTCCATTAATTATTACATTGCTTGATTATTCATGATTATTATTATTGCTTGATCATGTCCTTTCTTGCAAGTTTAAAGGGAATTGGTATTTGAAATCACGCCTAATAATATAATTAATAACTTGATTTAGGCTAATATGATTTTAATTCAAGTGATCACGAATAATAGATTTGATTGTGCATTAATAATCAACCAACGTAGATTAAACAGGTTTAGAGCTAACTTGATGTATGTATGTTGATCGGAAAGCGCACATGAATATCATAAGAATTAAGTAGAGGTTGATTTAAGGCGGGTTCAATCTCTTTTAGGTTGGATTCGTACCATCATCCCCGAATGTCCAGTCATGGTTCCGGACCACAATGGAGTTAGCTATCTCCGTGATCGTGAATGGGGTGTAACCTTCACACCCGTGAACGGTTTACAAGTTCCTAAAACTTGTTGGCGGCTCTTTTATCTCTAGCTTCTTTCCCTTTGGACGCCACCATGCTTAAAAGCATTGATCACAGTGGAGCTCAAAAGGTTGAGTTAGAAAAATTCCCTACAATGTTATAAAAAAAAGTAGAGAGAATATGATTAAAAATTAGAGAGAAGTTACTAAAAAAGAAATGTTTCATTTATTTAAACACGACCGGAAAAAGGAAAACATTTCATTTATTTAAACAAGGACGGAGTATATGATAAAGTTAATGATTTTATTCGCTATTTATTACTTGAATTTTTATTATAAAATAAATTGTATATTTTTTTATTCATTATTATATAGATAAAAATTTTAATATAAAAAAAATAATACTTCATCTGTTTTTAATTAGATGTATCACTTTCTAAAAATAGAAGTTTCAATAGGATGTATCACTTTTTCTTTCAATTAATAAATTCTCTATCCCTCTCATATTACATAAGCCTTTTTTTTTTCTCTCACTATCTCTCTATTCCGAAAATTACCTAAAAGTCAACAATAACAAAGTTGATGCAACTAAAAAAACTAGAAAAATATTTTGTTTTTTTATTAAGCTAAAACACAAATCTCGTTTGTTAATTTTATTTTGTGACAATTGAATTATTTAATTTTAAAGGAAAATGCAATTTTTTTTGTTGGCTAAAATTAACTAATTTCTCAAGTGACGCTCTTAAAACTCGGGGAAAATAATTTTAAAAAGATACTCCCTCCGTAATTAATTACTTGCTCTGCTTTTCATTTGCGGCCGTATCTTATTACTTACTCTATTTTCTTTTTTTGGAAACTTTTAACAATATTTTACTATTTTTCACCCCACTAGTGGTCCCCTCATATCATATGTTAACATATTTCTTATTCTCTCTCCTCCCCGCTTATACTCATTTTCGCTTTTTCTAGATTTTTTATACGTCATTCAACCTCACTTCCCTCATATTTTATTATTTTCTACTATTTCTCTTGAAACTCCTACATTGAGAAATGGGGCAAGTAATAAAATAAGGAGGGAGTATTTTTTTTTAATAGAATTACGGAGGGGGTATATAGAAAATAAAAACACATTTGTTGGAAAAAATTTAATGACATCGTAAAATTTGCCTTTAGTATAAAGTTATTGATAAACTAGATTTAAATCTGTGTGTTGCACTGTTTAATTGCTTACATTTTTGTAAATCAAAGATTTTATGTATTAATATGATAAAGTTTATGATTTTATTCGTTGTTTATTACTTGAATTTTTATTATAAAATAACTTGTATTTTTTTATTCATTAGTATTTAGTATATAGATAAAAAATTTAATATATATATATTAAAAAAAAAAAAACTTTCTTTGTTTCTAGTTAGATGCATCACTTTATAAAAATGGAAGTTTCACTAAGAGCATCACCTTTTCTTTTAGTTAATAAATTTTCAATCTCTCTCCTATCACATGACCCCTCTTTATTTTTTCTCTCTATCTCTCTCCTATAGTCCTATCATATCGATCCTCTTCATTTTTTCTCTCTATCTCGTTGTTCCAAAAATTACTTAAAAGTCCACAATTACACAACTGATGCAATTAAAAAAAAATCGGAAAAATATATTATTTTTTCATTCCAGTTAAAATCCCAAATCTCATTTGTTAATTTTATCTATGTGCCAATTGATTATTTAATTGTAAATGAAATTGGATTTATTTATTTTATTAACTATAATTGTTTCGGGGTTTTCTGATGTCCTGCGGGAGAGTTACAATTCCGAGACTGGAACCGGACGCCTGTACCTGCAAAATAACGGAGACTCCTGAGAGCTCCGCCTCCAACGGTCAAGTTAGTACCTGATTAAGGAGTAATTAATACAGAAATTAAAGTAATGAGATCTCTCTAGGTGAGAGTGCTTAGTGTTGGCAATCTGCGTCGTTAGCGAGATTAGCCGGTTGTTAATAACTCTGTTCTTCTCTGCTTGATTTCTTGATTATTCGATTACCCAACTAATGAGGATTAATTGAGTATTTATAGCCTTGAGAAGCGTGTCACTCTCTAGGTTTAAGGTAAACCTAGGGCTGATCGGGCCTCTAGACTGAATTGGGCCTTGATGGCCGGTTTTCCCATTTGGCATGGGTGGACACGTGGCGTGTCTAAATTGGTCCGTAGAGGACGTATCTGTGATTGACACGTGGCAGGCTCCTGTTGGCCTTCGTGAAGGACACGTGGCGGAACCTGGTTGGTCCACTTGTCAGACGGTGATTGGTGGATAAAAATCCCCTAATCAATAATCAACTATTTTTTATATGATTTGGGAAAAAACTCCCCTTTGTGTATCAAGCCAATAATGGAATATGTGGCAAATGAGTCCCAAGACTTAAGTACTATGTGCAAATTAGTCACCTTACTATTATTTGCAGCAAATTAAACCCACTACTTTGAAAATTGTGCAATTCAATTACTGGTAGCAGTTATCTAATCTAAATGAACAAATTCCACCAGAAAACAACCATCATTTTAATTAGCAATAAATAAATAATACACAAATAGATTATTATGTCTCTGCATATCAAAGTAGACTTGTTTTTTGAGGGGAAACAACCATCATTTTAATTAGCAATAAATTTGCTTTGCTAATCCTTGCTCTACTCTGCTCTGCCCAGAAGCTCAAAAGAACAGGGCCTAACTCTACTTTATTTATTTATTTTTTTAAGATTTTTGTAGAAGTATTAATCTGCTAAGAACTTTATCATTTAATTATTTATTGTTAAAATGGATTTTTGAATTACATTTTTTAGATAATATATTTAAATTTCAATTATCATTAATTTTAAAAACTGAGCATGGCTCGGGAACTATTTAATATTACTGTATGCTACTAAAAATAATCCATCTTTAAAATATAATATTCCATCAACCATATGGTCTTCTCAATCTCACACCATTTTCTCTCTTATCTCACCATCTCTGTCTCAATTCATAAAAAAAATTACTTCTCCATCTTCCACCATTCAAACAAGCTCAAATTAATGTTTAATAGAAGAATAATTAAGTAGTAGACAGAGAGATTAAAGAAGAGGGGAAAAAACTCAGTTGTGTTAATGTAATTATGAGGTATTCATCTTACACAAATTAAGAGGATGAAGATCTTAGACTATAACAGTACTGCGACTGCTGCGTGGCTACTCTTGCAAAATTTTATTTGATGCCAGTATAAATTGTTTTGTATTCAATGATGTTTTATTTATAATGAAGTTTACATGTATGTACTAAGTATATAAATTCTTCGTAGTTCAAATGTATAAGAGTTGTATTAAATAGTGGTAAATATATAGTTGTAATTCGGTTGAATTAAAAATTACAGATTGGATGTGGTCGGAAAAACGTCTATAGATATTGATTGCACATATTGCAAAATATATAAGTTTAATTTACAACAATTAATAATAAGGAGGTTAATTTACACATGAGACTTAAGTCTTGGGGCTTATTTGCCACAAATGCACCCCTTTGTAGTATTAGATTTGCCGGTTCTCTCCATGAGCTTAATTACATCTTAAAATTCCAGAAAATCCATAAAAATGGTAATTTCTATTGGAAGAACAATTAGAAGGGGATGCACCCTGCAAATGCTGCAATTCTCTAAATTTGGTCACGAAATTTCATTATTAGTATCCCACCACCGCCAATACCACCAGAAACGCCTCACATTTTGTCGGAAAACTCACCAGTAATTCTAAATTGCCTACTTCTGGCGTATACTTTCCGCATTCTTATAGAACCTTTTCTTCTTCATCATCATATACATCTGGGTCCAAGTATGGTGGTTTTCTACAATGGTATTTGAGTATGCTTGAAACTCGTCCGTATATCACCAAGGCCTTCTCTTCTTCCCTTATTTTTGCTGCTGCTGATTTTACCTCTCAGGTAATTCTTAGTTTGTAGTGTAATTACATTTTCATTTTGCAATTATTGTTTATATTTTTTTTTATTATTGTTGCAGTGTTGTGTTTTGTTTTTTTGTTATTTTTTTTTTTTTACTTTTTGTGGGCAAGAGAGTAAAGGGTGTTTGTTAAAACTAGCATAATTCAAAGTGTTAAAACTTATAAAAACTAATCAAAATGGAAAAGATGAATACAGATATGCCTAACTATAATTATTAGTAAGCCACTATGCCAAGAGAGAGTATGCAATTGAACAACATTTCATTGGAAGCAGATTTCCTTTTTAAATTTTATTGAAGGCTTGCAATCATGAGTAAGTTAAGTGATTTATTAACCTCGCATTGTTCTAGTGATTTTGAGAAAATTAAACCTGTACTGTTTGTCTTTGTGTTGACAATATTGGGGTGAATCACACGACCATGTGTTTACACTGGTTTGGAGCTCTTGCATTTTACAATTTTGAGGAATTCCTGGTGTTGATCATATTAAATTGAGCATTTCAATGTTAAGAGTGACTGTTGTAGTTGTTTCCATCGTCAAATAATGTTCTTAGGCTAACCAGGAGGTGAGAGGGCGTAAAGAAAGACTATTCTGATGATCAATACAGATTTATTATCTAATCAGAATGTGGAAATTTATAAGAAGGGAATAAAAAAAATAAAAAAACAGGCAACAAGCAGCTAGCCGTGGGCAGGCCTGCGGACATGAGCGTGGCCACCTGGGTTCGTCCAGGTGCAGCTCAACCGCGCTGCTGTCACGCTATGTTGCTGCAGTGCTGCTATCTTGCTGCTACTTTGTGGAGGTTGTTGGCTGCACATGGGAGCATTAGGTGAGGGCTTTTTTTTTGGTGATGGTTAGGCTGCCAAAAGGTGCTACAAATTGCTGCAATGCTGCCGCCTTTTGTTGTCCATTGTGAATTTGTGAGGGCTTGAAACTTGGGACTGCTAGGATTGGAGCTGCTGCGATTTCGCTGCTCTGGGGCTTGCTTTGAGCATGGAAAGGGGGTAATATAGAGGGTGCTAGGATGTGCAAAGCTTCCTTGGAGCTGCGGCTGCAAAGGCTGCTGTTCGATATGCTTGCGCTTTGTGCGGGGAAGCTAGGAGGTTGGATGCTTGTTGCCTTGGTGCATTGTCAATGTTGGGGCCGTGGCACCTATGAGGCCGCGCCCACGCTGCCCTTGTTTGCCCTACACAGTGGCAAACCTCCTTAAACTTGCACAAGGCCATGACCACGGCCCTTGCATGGCATATACACGGCATAGCTTCTTTCTCCCTTCACCCTTCCTTTCTTCAATGCTTCTACAAGCTTCCTTCCTTGAAATTTATTTGAACAAATCACCATGGAAAAACCTCCAAACCTACACATAAACAACCAAACAAAGCATGGGTGAAAGAACAAGGGAAAATGCGTCAAAAGAATAAGGAATTCGAGAATAAACGTGCATTCCTCTTAACTATCACTCAAGCATGCACACATTTGTTTATTGAACTAGAAGGCCACAAAACAAATTAAAAAGAACCAAAACTAAGCAAGAAACCTACGCATCATCATTGTGGTATAAAAATCCTGTCTCTTTTTCTGTGTACCATAATAGTAGATTCATAGCTCCAAGTCTCTTTTTCCATAACACTCCAACACCTAACTTGGAAAACATCTTGTCCTCTTGCTTCTGCTTGGATAACATCTTGTCCTGTTGCTTGTTCTATAATATGAAAGTTTAGTAATTTGAGTTCATTATAACTTGAGTTGAATGTGTTATCTTTACTTCTTTTTAGCATTAGCTTGGGTTTCGTAGCTCTGCTATTTATCTTTCAGAATTGTTAGCAATTGTCATTTAGTTCAACTGATTCATGCTTTTAATTTTGCTAGATCATTACATTGCCACCATCTGGGTCATTTGACTTACTCCGGACGTTGCGTATAGCTGGATATGGATTGATAATTATGGGACCATCTCAACATCTATGGTTCAATTTTCTCTCAAGGATTTTGCCTGGACAAGATGTATTTACTACATTGAAAAAGATATTTATGGGACAAGCTATTTATGGACCTATTATGAACAGCATTTTCTTCTCCTATAATGCAGCTCTTCAAGGTAGAGTCCTTGACATCCTCTGAAAGCCATTGTAAAATGGTTAATCTGTAGATGAGATTTGGTAGCCCGATTTTTCTGTACTTCTTTTCCTACAGAGACCATTATGCCGTTCCTTGTGCTCAGGAGAGGCTCCTTTCTTCTAACTTCAGTCCTTGTGTCATAGTTTTAGCTTGAAGAGGCTCCTCATCTAAACCCTTTCAATTAAACTCATATTTATTGAATGGTTTGTTAATGTTCCCAAAGTCACTCATGGATGAACAAAATATACAAGTTTTCATTTTCTTCGCTTCTCACTCCATTATGACCCAACAAATTTTCGTTGCTCTTGTAATCCTTTTCTTATGCATGACTGGTATTATGTTATAATTTCAGGTGAAACTAGAGAAGTGATTTTTGCAAGACTGAAGAGAGACCTTCTCCCAACTTTGATGAAGGGTCTTATGTATTGGCCATTGTGTGATTTTCTTACATTTAAATTCATACCTGTCCATCTGCAGGTACCCTTTACAACTTTCAACCCTTTTTTCTATCATTTAGGACAGATATCTGTCAAATATATGAAATGAACAATGCAATGGTCTATGTGGCTGTTTAGTTTGAATTTAGGTGCAATAGTTACGGAGTCAGATGAATTTTATGCATGGTGAATTTTATGTAAAAAGCTTTTATTTGTCTACACGTCTAATATACGTTGCATTTTTACCCTGTTTGCTTGCAGCCATTGGTAAATAGTTCTTTCGCCTACCTGTGGACGATTTATTTAACGTACATGGCAAGCTTGAAGAAAGTTGGCGAGGATTGATTACACAGTTTGTCTTAGAAGTGGTATTTACGATACATGGCTTGTTACTGGAGTGAATTTTGATCAATATTTGAGTTTTCAGGTTTAATATTTCAGACTTCAGAGTTGCATTCAGTGTTTGAATGGATGCGTAATATTTTTGGATTATTATAGAAGAAATATAGGAAGAATGATTTGATTGACAATTCACAAAGGAGATTACATCCATATTTATACAGAAACTATACTAGCCTAATAACAACATAGCCTATATTCTCTATAACAATATGAAGAGATAATTATGGAATATAATAATATTAACAAACTTAAAAGATATCTTAATATCTTGGACAGTAATGTTTGAAATTGAGCTCGAGCTAGAGGCTTTGTTAGTGTATCAGCAAGTTGCTCTTTAGTTGAGATGTATGAGACACGTAACTTGCCACTTTGCACATTCTCTCACGAACAAAGTGGTAATCTAGAGCAAGGTGCTTCATCTTGGAGTGAAACTTTGGATTTGCCGCAACATATGTAGCACCCATGTTGTCACAAAATATAGTAGATTGAGTATGTGAGGAGACACCAAGTTCAATAAGAAGATTAATAACCAAAGTACTTTAGCAGAAGCTGCAGCAAGAGCACGATACTTGGCTTCCGTAGAAGAGCGAGCTAGTGTTCGTTGTTTGGTGGAACTCCATGAGATTGGATTGCGACTAAGATAGACTATTTATCCAGTAGTGGAGATATAGTCATCTTTGTTTCCTGCCAGTCAGCATCGGTAAAAGCATGCAAGCATGTTGGCGAGTTCCGATGTAACAAAACCCCTCTATTCAAGGAACCTGCAAGGAATATGAGGAGTCGTTTTAAAGCATTCCAATGCTTGTTCGTGGGACGATGCATATATTGAGATAACCTGTTGACACAAAAGGCAATATCAGGTCTTGTTAGTGATAAGTATTGTAAGCTCCCAACAAGACCTCGGTATTGTTTTGGGTTGGAGAGAGGGGAACCAGACTCAAGTATTAAGGAGCAGTAGTGGCCATAAGAGTGGGCAAAGGTTTTGCTTCAGTCATATGAGCTTTGTCAAGCACAACCTGGATGTATTTTTGTTGACTTAGGAAGATGCCTTGTGGGTGAGGAATGACCTCAACGCCAAGAAAATAAGATAAAGTTCCCAAATCCTTTAAAGCAAAACGTGAGGAAAATTTTGAGATGAAGATATCAAGGAGGCTAGGGTCTGAGCCGGTGACAATAATGTCATCGACGTAGACTAGAAGATAAATGAGGTGTTGATTTTGACGAAGGATAAAGAGGAAGGAGTCAGATATTGTGTAAACAAAGCCGAGACTCGGTAGGTAGTGTTTGAGTTCAGTGTACCAAGCTCTAGGAACTTGTTTGAGACCATAGAGAGCTTTTCATAGCTTGCACACAAGAGTGGGTTGGGATTTGTCAATGAAACCCGGAGGTTGTTTCATATACACGTCCTCCATGAGAGTGCCTTGGAGGAACGCATTATTGATGTCAAGTTGGCGAAGAGGCCAACCATGGGAAATAGCAAGAGATAGGATGACTCGTACTGTGGGGGCCTTGACAACCGGACTAAAGGTCTCCCAATAATCAAGTCCTAGACGTTGATGAAACCCCTTTGCAACGAGGCGTGCTTTGGGACGTTTAATTGAGCCATCAGGTTTGTACTTTGTGCGAAAAAAACCATTTGCACCCAACAAGATTTTGAGATGAAGAGGGAGGTACAAGCTCCCAAGTATGATTTCGAAGAAGAGCAACTTATTCGGCTTGCATGGCATTTTTCCATGTGGGACTTTGTAAAGCTTGAGTGATTGTGGTTGGTTCAAATGATGTATTGGTAGTGAGGGTGTGAGCATTGTACTTTGGATTTGGTTTTGTGATGTTGTTTTTCAAACGGGTGTTGATAGTGCTAGAAGGAGGAGGTGAAGGGGGTGGGGGTGGAGGAGGACTGGGAGATGGAGAGGAAATAGGAGAATGTGGCTGTTTTGAAGGTGAGGTAGTCACTATAGAAGTGTCAGACGAGGAGGGAGATTGGATGAGGATTGGTAATGACATTTGGCACCAAGTGTCTGCATTCATAGATGATGTCGGCATGGTAGTATGTGCGGAAAAGGGGAAGGTTTGCTCAACAAACTTCACATGCCTAGAGACATAAATTTTGTTAGAGTTAACATCAAGGCAATAATATGCACTTTGCGTTGGCGAGTATCCAACAAAGATACATGGTTTTGACCGTAAATCAAGTTTATATGATGTGTATGGACGAAGCCAAGGGTAACACAAGCAACCAAAGCTTTGGAGTTTAAGGTAATTAGTGGATATGCCAAAAATAGTATAGAAGGGATATTGGAGAGATAAAGTTGGTGTAGGCATATATGAGGTTGATTAAATAAATCGCGGCGGCAAAAGCAAGTGGCCAATACTTGACGGGCATGGAGGCATGAGATAAGAGAGAGAGACCCGTCTCAACAATGTGTTTTATGACGCCTTTCAGAGTATCCATTATGTTGAGGGGTATGAGGAGGAGAGGTCAAGTGGGTGACTCCATTGGTTTCTAGGAAAGGAGTGAGCTTTCTATATTCACCACCATTATCAGAATATAGTGTAATTATGGGTCTATTGAAGTACTTTTCAACCAAAGCCTTGAATCGAATAAAAACAATTTTAGTTTCAGATTTATATTTCAAGGGATAAAGCCATACATACTTTGAGTAATGATCAACAAAGATAACAAAGTACTTAAATCCATCATATGAATGAATAGGAGAGGTCCAAACATCACTATAAATAACGTCCAATGGACCATTTGAAGTAATAGTAGGTTGAGAAAATGGCAATTTGTGGCTTTTATTGCAATCACACGCATTACATTGAAGAGAAATAGAATTGGGAATAGGGAGATTAAACATAGTACTAATTTGCTTAAGAATAGAATAAGAGGGATGACCTAGGTGGTGATGTCAATCTAGAGTTGTTGATGAGGAGGCAGAGTTGACGATGGGGCTGATGGAGTGAGGACTGGGTTGCCATTCATATATTCTTGACTTAGTTGGACCTTGAAGAAATGTGTTCCCCGTTTGAATATCCTTCACAAGAAAAGAATTAGATGAGAAAGTGATGGATACATTATTATCACGACAAAATTGAGATATAGAGGTAATATTTCTTGAAGCAGGTGGAACATGTAGAACATTAGTAAGATGAATTTAGTAGAAAAAAGGAGAAAAGAAAGGGAACTAGTATTAGCGATTGGGAGACCGGAGCCGTCACCAATGATGAGCTCATCACTACCATTATAAGGAGCATGAAGAGATATATTTTCTATATCATTTGTCACATGATGCGATGCACCACTATCTAAAAGCCAGCCAAAAGATGGAGCTATTGGTGCACTGTGTAGGCACGAGGAGTGTGAAGTGGTTGATAGCCCTTAGCAACATAGCGGTTGGGTTGAGGGAGAGTTAGAACAGTTGGATTAGATGGCTGAGTTGGTTGAATAACATTGGGGAATTGTTGACGAAAAATAGGACATTGTGTAACATAATGACCTTGTTGCCGGCACTGTTTGGGGGTTTTTTATGTGTCTTGCGAGAAAGTTACAATTTCCTACTATGCTCCTTCCTTCGCCTGTACCTGCACAAATAACGGAGACTCCTGATGGGGGGGGTGGGAGTTCTGCCTCCGAAGATCAAGTTAGAATCTTTCTTAAAGAGGTATAAAGAAAAATAAATGCTTCTCGATTAGAGAGCATTTTGCAATGGGTTTTGTGTTTTGTTGGTGTTGGAATTGTTCTCAATCCCCATAAATGAGGTCTACCCCTACTATTTATAGTAGGGGAGAACTGTACCTCAATTAGGGAACATTGGACACGTGTCGTAAAGGGATTGGGCCTTTGCGGACCGTTGCAAGCTTGACACGTGGCAAGCCTTTATAGGGCCACGTGTCTAGGGGTATTTTTACCCTAAACATTTTCCCCTCACAGGTGTGACGTGGCATAGCCCCGTGTCACCTGTGACAGGCGTCAGAAGAATGGGAGGTGACGGTTCGCCTACTTCCCTCCTTTTTTTGAGTTTTTCAATTTTTAAGGCAGAAAGTGTTGATTCACCTTCTGCCCCTCTCCTATAAATAGGAGACATCACCTCTCTCCTCCACACTTTACAAAATTTCAAAAAAATTTCTGAGAGCTCTGATACTGGCTACTTCATTTCCTCAAGAATTCTTCCATCCGGCATTTGTAGATCAATCACATCCGGCTACCGGTTGAGTATATTTTGCTCAATTTCAACAAGGTAACGGTTGCCCCTTTCTCTTCACTTTTAACTTCTGATTGACTGATTTTCCCATCCGGGTTGCATGCCGCCTGGGGGGGTGATAAGTGGCTTTTATGCCACTAATCGGGATCCTTTTTCCTATCATTTCCCTCCATTTATCGCTTGTTTAGCCCTATTTTATCGCGTTTCTCCATATATTGCACAACAATGCTATCTCCCTCGTACTTCCCCTCTACTTTACCTTTTCGTGCTATTTTTGGGTGTTTTCCTATGTTTTGCAGGTAAACCAATCGATACGCGAAGTAGAAGAAAGTTCAGGATAGTTTCGAGAGCTGGTTTCAATAGCAAATCAAGTGAGGAGCTTTAATCAGGCTGTGCGCCCAGGAGACCCCTCTTTCCCGCTCTGCGCTGGCGCGCAACCCAAGGGAGAAGGCGCGCATTCAAGGACAAATCAGGATGTAAAGCGCTACTCATCCTGCGCGGGCGCAATAATTCCTGGAGAGGGCGCGATACTCATCATGCGCGGGCGCGATGATTCCAGGAGAGGGCGCGCATATTAGCTTGAGCTCTTGAAGAAAGAAGGCGACTTTCTGTAGATGCCAAGTGCGCTCAGTAGAGGGCGCGCATGTATTAGTAGAGGGCGCGCACACGGAAGTTCGCGGGCGCGCACACTTTAGTAGAGGGCGCGCACATCATCCTGCGCGGGCGCGCAAATAATTGTAGCGGGCGCGCACGCCGTCAGCCCAGCCCGTTTTTATTTCCTTACTTAAAAGCTGATTTGAAAAGGGAATGAAGGCAGCTATTCCACTTAGGGTAATATGCTTAGAACATTTCTAGAGAGAAAATAGCCTCCATTGATGCTTGTATAAGTTTTAGAGAGAGAAAATTCAGATTCTTAGTCTTTTATCACCCAAACTTTAATCTTTAATCTAGAT